ATTCATATTACCTGGTTAGCAACAGAGACATACTATTCAGATCTAATACCATTGCAAATTCATGCAATAAAAAACAAAGGATTTATGCTGTGGGGTCCCCACCCCATAAAACACATTGGTGTGAAGTCAATCCCAACTTATAGTGACCCTATTGGCAAAGCAGAACTGTCCAAACAGGGTTTCTTTGTCTGTAATCTTTATGGAAGCAGAAAATCAAGTCTTTTCTACCATAGAACTCTGGTGGGTTCAAACCACTGATCTTTTGGTTAGTGGCTAAGTGTTTAAACGTTATGCCAGCGGACTCCTTTATTACAATATAAGGATTTTATATTACTTAAATAAAATGTTGATATTAAAATATTTAAGTGTGTTTTAAATGGAATAGGGAACTACTCTTTACTGGTTTAGATAAAGCACTGGATAGAGAACCCAAGATTCAACTTTAGTGTTGGCTGTGACATATATCAGTTTCATGGCTTTGTTGTTGTTGTTGTTGTTATGTGCCGTGAAGTCGGTTCCGACTCATAGCAACCGTGTACAGGGTTTCCAAGGCTGTAAATCTTTACGGGAGCAGAAAGCCTCATCTTTCTCCCATGGAACAGCCGGTAGTTTCTAACTGCTGACCTTGCGGTTCGCAGCCCGATTCATAACCACTACGCTACCAGAGCTGTCTTTACAGCTTTACACTTTACAAGGGACATAATTTCTCTACATGCTAATTCCTTCATCTGTAAAATCTGTGATTTATTCATTTGTGCTATTCACTATTTTTGAATCTCCATTTAGTCACATGGGAGTATTGAGCTACCCTACACTCTGACTCAAAGATGAAACTGATATCACTTGCAGTGTTAAGAACAAGTATGTGATTTGCTATAGTTTTAGTTCCTTCATCCATGGGGACTGGCAAGATTTCAAGTAATGGCTACTTGATCAGGTTGATTCCTGGAACGTGGACCCCCAGCCAGCTCATAGTGATAGTGTAGTTTAAGAATGAAAGAATCCTTTGTTCCTGAGGCTACTGAAATTTG